GGCTTTATTTTTAATTTGACTTTTCATTTTTGAGAATATTTTTTATTCGAATGTAGCTATAGTAGTTTTTCCGCAGTAATCGTTTTTGTTAAGACTGTCACGCGCGGTCGAAAAAAATAGTGACATATAATTCGCGGACAGGTCAGGCGAAAATCAGTCGCGCAGGGCGGACGGTTGAATGGGTAATGAATAGACTATTACAGCCTATAGAAATCTAATGCTGCACATAGGATTTCCCATATATTGTCTCGTAGAAAGAATTTTGCCACGCTTGGCAACTGCAGTGCTTATTATATTTTTGAGTTGTTATCAGAAAGATGCTGCTGCACAACTTGTTTTAGTTTTCCTCTGTCGCTTTTTACGACACCCATGTGACACTATGATATGGGTTAAAGGATAATCATACACTATCACTACACGGTTAAACACTGAAATATACACGACTCAATTTTATATCCATTAATAGCAATACAATAACCAGTGCTTACACTTGAAAATTTATAGATATTAATATTAAAGAAAATATTACAACCACGTAAAATATTGAAAAAAATTATTCACATGAAAACGTTGCTTATATACGCATGCAATCACATCTAATAAGAGCACCTCCTCCATTCTAAAATAATTTCCAAAGATCTGAGTTTGATAACTTAATTTTTAAAACGTATGTCGTAGCATTAGATAGATATGGATGCACACGCACACACAGACACCCACACCTACACCCACACACACACACACACACACACACACACACACATACACACACACAAACACACGCACACGCACACGCACACGCACATGCACACGCACACGCATACGCATACGCACACCCACACACACACGCTCATTAATAAATTCTAATTTAGTTTTGTCATGTATGTTAATATAGCTTTGGTTGCGACACAATAAAATCTTACAGAGCGTATCCTGGAAAAGACGTTACTGACGTTACTGCACTTTTGAAGCAATAACTTTCTAACGCTATAAAGTCCCTAGCTGCCGGCTGTATGTACAGAGTAAAAACAACGTCAGTCGAAATCGAAAACAGAATCAAATTCGAAATCCATTTCGGGATCACGCCTGCTGTTCAGTAACGGAATGTGATTAGGGAAAAATAAAATAGTAAAAACTGACAAAATCAAAATATGTATAAAATATTTCAAAAATGTCACATGCTAGAATATTGGAAACATTTCGTCGCTTTGAATCAAATATAAACTATTAAAAAAAAGGAAAAAATTGCGCTACATCAAAAAACTTGTTTTTATAATCCCTTCACAATAATAAACATTATATATCAATTTGTTTTTTAACATACTTAGAGACGTATAATCACTATCTTCCCGAGTTCCTGCATACTCATTGTTAAAGATAGAAAATTTCAATGATCAAGATTTTCTTGCCAGTTCTTCTCTGTAGAGGTCCTACTTTTCGAACCAGTGGTACATTTTATAGCTTTTAGTAAGCCTTAACTTCATAAAGTATTCTTAAATCTGACCTATGTAAAGTCCTAAGTTCTTCTAATTACTCCATTAATCAATTAAACAAATACATGTTTATGCTACACAATCGTACAGGTTGAAACTTAGATTGCAATTGTGTACTGGAAAACAGAGTAGCGGAAAATGAACTGGTATATCCTAATTGCACTCTGTACAAACCAAACAAGGAAACTAATCTCGATTTAACAAAAACTTCGTAATATGCTTGCATTTTCACTCACTGAAAATGTGCACACATTCCGGCTATATAAGAAACTAATCTCTAGTCTCTAGATATAAGATCAATTGCTGTCTGTTAGTCTCACAAAAACTCGAAAACGGCTGTATCGATTTTGATGAATTTTTTTGTGTATATCTGAGTGGGTCCGTAGATTAAACACACTGCGAATGGACCCGGTAGGTGACGCTGTTGTGGAGATACAGAAATCACCCGTGCGAAGCCAGGGCGGTTCGCTAGTATTTTATATAAAGTGTATGAAGTTGGCTTACATATTTACTAAAAACTATTTAGATAAACAGTTGTTAATAAAATAAATAACACCAATTAAGTAATTAGGTAAAGTTTTATATACCAGTAAAGATGTATTATTATAAAAGTCTTTTCTCGCATCTTACCAGCTCAAAACCGGACCATTGTTAGTCAGTGCCTTTCCTCAAGGAGGGTAGGATTTGCCGTAATACCCACGCTTGGCGTTACGAATAGCGATCGTACAGCAGATGATTCTAACTTCTTCCGTTGCGCTGGTCTGAGTTTTTTCAAATTATTTCACATCAACATCTGTTGGAGGCCACAAGAATTATTGTGCGTCTCTATAGGTTAATAATAATGACGTTGACAAAGATAAAATAAATTAAAGCGGCGGCGATGGATTACAAAACTACAGGAACTCTTTTTTATTTATTTATTATGAGCGAGAGCTTGACCACAACCTGGTGGTAAGTGGTTACATGACCATAGATGATAAATCGCACTGTCTTAGCGTATCAGAAGCATATTCACTCTTGCGTTGAAGACGCCCAGATTGTATTCGGGCGGAAAGACAAACGCTGGTAAATTGTTAAAAATAAATACATAAAGGTTCATAGCTAGAATATGAACATATTGTGTGCTACGGTTTGAAAGGTAAAGTAAGTTAGGATGTATCGCAAACTATGAATCAATCCAACATTCGATCTTAGTTCTTTAGGGGTAACACCTGTTTTATTTAAAACAACTGTCCGCTTTGTCAAAATTTCATTAACCACTAACCAATCAAGTAACTTTTAAGCCCTTTTGCTTTTGTTGTTATGGAAAAAACGTATGGTCATGGTCTGGTGTATTTTTTATAAAAGTAAGGGTAGCGTCATGGATGGTAAGAAAAGGCTGTGGAACCTAGACATCTACATCTTTGCTCGATTAAGAAAAATCAGAATGCAGACGCGTTATTTCTCTACGAACTAAGATGAAATGCCTCGTGAATAGTAAAAGATAATTCAGTTCATAGGAGGAGTATAGTTACAAGATAAGAACATTACAAAAGAAAAGAAAAACCAAAGCACAGTCTAAAATAACCTTTTAGCTCACTGCATGGATAGAATATCTGAAGGCCGATAGAATATCATACCGGCGTGAAGTAGAGGCTTTGCTTCTGCGTTTCGTCTGGTGAGTGCAGGTGGCCGGAGGCCCAATTCCCCCCCCCCCCCATCAACATGGTAGCGGAATTACAAAGTAGACTACCCCAGGAGGGTACCAGTACCCCTGGAGAATCCCTCGCTGAGCATCCACGACCATGTTATTCCAATCCTGAGCGTGGGTGCTCAGGCTGCCCCGCGTATTCTGGGGGGGGCAAAATTCCGCTCAAAAACAAAACTGCTTGGGGCAAACTGAGCAACAATACCAAGGCGACCCCTGCCACGCTATCCGTGAATTTCTGCAACATCAGGGGACTTCACTCTAACCTAAACGCCGTCCACTACCATCTCGAGACGGCGAAGCCGGCCTTGCTCTTTCTGACCGAGACGCAGGTTTCCTCTCCGGCTGATATTTCGTATCTCTCCTGCCCGGGGTACAAATTGGAGCACTCCTTTGTGCCTCGGGCTGGAGTTTGCGTGTATGTCAGAGAGGACATCTGTTCTCGACGCCTCGGCAGTCTTGAAGGTTCGGACCTGTCCATCCTTTGGCTACGCGTAGACAGCGACGACCATCCGCGCGTCTACGGGTGCCTCTATAGGTCCCATAGCGGTAATGCCGAAACAGACCGACTCATCGACCACGTCCAAATGGCTACAGATTCCTTGCTACAACAGGTCCCATCCGCAGAGATCGTGATCCTTGGCGATTTTAACGCCCACCATGCCGAATGGCTCGGTTCACGTTTAACCGATCATGCGGGGAGATCTGTTTATGACTTTGCTTTGGCATATGGTCTGACACAACTGGTTACTTCGCCTACGCGGATTCCAGATGTGGAGGATCATACACCTTCCCTGTTGGACCTTCTGCTGACCTCTCATCCGGACGGATATCAGGTTTCCGTCGATGCCCCTCTCGGCTCTTCGGACCATTGTCTGATCCGGAGTATGGTGCCACTCACGCTCCCTTCGCGGTTGCGTTCTGCAGGTTGCCGCCGTGTTTGGCATTACAGGTCGGCGGATTGGGACGGAATGCGGTCTTTCTTTGCATCCTACCCATGGGGGCGGGTTTGCTTCTCGCCGGATGATCCCAGCGCTGTTGCTGACTCTGTCACTGATGTGGTGCTACAGGGAATGGAACTATTTATTCCATCATCTGTGGTACCCATCGGAGGCAGGTCTCAGCCTTGGTTTGGTCGCTCCTGTAAGACTGCATTGCGCAGAAAGCAGGAGTGTTATCAAGCCTGGGCTGCGGCTTCGGTGACTCGGGATGTAAATACCAGCACACTTAAAAAGAAGTATAACTTCGCCTCCAGGTCCTTCAAAAGAGTTATTGCCAAGGCAAAGTCAGAGCACATAGGCAGAATTGGCGAGAAACTAGTTCGCCTTCCTTCGGGAACCCGTGCATTCTGGTCTCTCGCCAAGGCTGTCCAAGGGAATTTCTGTAAGCCATCACTACCATCTCTGCACAGGGAGGACGACTCACTGGCCCACGACGCAAAAGAGAAGGCCGACCTTTTAGGCTCCCTTTTTGCGTCCAACTCGACTGTTGATGACGGGGGGAACACACCGCCGACCATCCCGCGGTGTGAGTGCTCTATGCCGGATGTGCTATTCTCACAGCGCTCGGTTCGCAGAGCACTCCTCTCCCTTGACATCCACAAGTCGAGTGGGCCTGACGGAATCCCCCCAATTGTGCTGAGGACGTGTGCTCTGGAGTTGGCACCGGTTCTAACGCGTCTTTTCCGGTACTCCTACTCCCATGGCGTTGTCCCGAACTCATAGAAGACAGCTTTTGTCCACCCGATCCCTAAAAAAGGCGACCGCTCAGACCCGTCCAACTATAGGCCTATCGCGATCACCTCCTTGTTCTCCAAAATAATGGAATCCATTATTAACTGCCAGCTCATCCGGTACCTTGAGGATCACCAGCTGATCAGTGACCGCCAATACGGTTTTCGTCGGGGTCGATCAGTTGGTGATCTTCTAGTCTACCTGACCCATAGATGGGCGGAGGCAGTAGAGTCCAAGGGGGAGGCGTTGGCCGTTAGTCTGGACATTGCGAAGGCCTTCGATCGGGTTTGGCACAAAGCGCTTCTTTCGAAGCTCCCTTCCTATGGGCTTCCCGAGAAATTGTGCAATTGGATCACCAGCTTCCTTGCAGATCGGAGCATCAAGGTCGTTGTAGACGGTGCATGTTCTGACTACAAGCCTATTAACGCTGGTGTTCCACAAGGCTGTGTGCTATCACCAACGCTGTTTCTTCTGCATATCAATGATATGTTGCTAACTGGTAACATTCATTGCTATGCGGATGACAGCACTGGTGATGCTCTATACACCGGCCGGGCCAATATTTCTCGGGAAAACGTCGCCGAGTACCGGAACAAACTTGTGTCTGAAGTCGAGTCTTTGCTGGACAAAGTCTCGGATTGGGGGCGACTAAATCTAGTCCAGTTTAATCCTCAGAAGACACAAGTTTGCGCGTTTACCGCTAAAAAGAACCCCTTTGTCGTATCTCCTCAGTTTCAAGGCACTCCCCTTCTTGCCTCAGCCAGTATCGGTATCCTCGGAGTCGACATATCGAGTGACGTGCAGTTTCGTGGTCACTTGGAAGAGAAGGCCAAATTGGCCTCTAAAAAGCTTGGCGTACTCAGCAGAGCGGGACAGTATTTCATGCCGGCACACCGCCTGCAACTTTACAAGGCGCAGGTTCGGCCTCACATGGAATACTGTTCCCATCTCTGGGCAGGGGCTCCCCAGTGCCAGCTCCTTCCACTTGACCGCATCCAGCGCAGAGCGGCTCGAATCGTCGACGACCGAGCCCTTTCCGATCGGCTCGATTCATTGGCACTGCGAAGAGATGTTGCATCTCTTTGCATTTTCTTTCGCATCTACCATGGGGAGTGCTCTGAGGAATTGTTCGGATTAATCCCAGCCGCCAAATTTCATGAACGCACATCGCGGCAGAACTCCCGATACCATCCACACCATCTGGATGATTGGCGGTCCACCACTGTGCGATTTAGAAGATGTTTTCTTCCTCGCACGACTTCCTTGTGGAATCGATTACCATCAGCGATTTTTCCGGACCGATATGACTTAGGGACCTTCAAGAAAAGAGCCTACTCCTTTTTAAAAGGCCGGCAACGCATCTGCAATTCCCCTGGTGTTGCGGTTGTTCATGGGCGGCGGTAGTCACTTACCATCAGGTGAGCCGCATGCTCGTTTGCCCCCTCTCCTATAAAAAAAAAAAAAAAAAAAAAAGGCAATAAAATAATAATTATTTTAAACATCTATTGCAATGCAACAAATAACTTAAAACCATATGTTGCACACTCTGTATTGACCCATTTGTTAGCTGTCATAAACTGCTTCCGCTACTTTAGTAGTTTCATTTAGCGAAACTGGTTATTGCTGTAACACAATCATAAACATATTATTGGTTGTGAAATATAATATCATTTACTCAGTTTTATATGTTGGATTCGCGTTTTATTTCTTTCCGATGCCATAAGAAAGTCTTAACAATTTTGAACATGAAATTTTTTTCCGAAATATCTAATAAAAATTCCGGATGTTGAACTTGCTCACTAAATTAATCATTATCACCAAAATACATTCAGTATAGGCAAATACAGTTTGACAATACCGTAATATGTCCCCATCACAATTACACACTACTCGAATTTTTAACCTATACAAAATATATATGACGGCACGTGCGGCAGCGTCGGTGTAGCTAGACAGAATTCTTGTAAATAACACGTGCTCCGCACACCTGCACCATTGCATCTGCGGTGGCGCCCATTTATCTTGTATAAAACGGACGGAGCTGCCGCCGTTAGGACAGTCTTGGCTCTGACGTGGAACGGTACGCTTGTCGTATTCCGTTACTAGATTATCCTTGACTCGTTGGATAGTTAATTCGTGTAAACGAATTAATTATTATTCCCAACTACAAAATTAGTCTCTGTACTATACACAATTACCCTTTCTACATCAGAAGTGGGATAAAGTCCCCCTTATTGCCCACATATAATCTTCGAATAGTGTGAGAATTATTACATTTGTAAAGGCTATAATGCATTTCGCATTGATGGATCTCTTTTTATGTTAAATGCCGTAATGAAATTTGCTGTCCTACTTACGATATTGTCGTATCATTAAAGTGTAGAGAAAAGATAAAGTGAAATTATTTAAGCCAAAAGATAAATCCTTTTGTTCGATTTGTATTAAAAGTACCCTCAAGTATTTTCATTATTTCTGACGTACCTAAATATGTTAACAAATGGAAGAAATGTCGGAGGCTTTCTAGACGAGTCATCGTTTGCATTGAATGAAAAATTAATTTGTTCAAGTTTTGTTGTAATTTGATAGTTCATGCGAAACATGATTATCATTGTTATATTTTGAAATTCAAAACGGTTAAGCGATGTACCAAAATAAAGGGTTAACTTTAACATGCTAGGAATTGAAAATAATAAGTTACATTTTTGTGTTCTAATGTGTTGATCAGTGTTGCATTTTGCTCCGAATACTGTGTGGTCGACAAGATTGGGATTTGATGTCGAGAGATTCGTGGAAGTCTCTACAACAATGATCAATGAGGAACGGCCGAGCGCTAGTAAAATTGAGCCTACACCAATACTGTCTGTAACTTATCGGCAGATCTTACGGCAAGGCAATTCAAGCGGCCGCCGAACACATGGTCCTTTGGTGCTGTAAATGAACGTCTGAGGCTTGGTCGGCTTTCGTAGATTTTGCGCAGTTGCCTCCTTCGCTTCGAAATATGTTGTAGTATCTGTCTCTACACATAGTTTCCATTTTTTTTTGCAATGTTTTTAAATGTCATGCAGTTGCCGTTTCTTAAGAGAATATGTGATGAATTTTGGAAGCTTGGAATTTCATGGTTCGCAATACATTTATCTCGATTTCTTTTAATTTTGCAAAGCAGTGCGACGATTCGCTAGCGCTAGTACGGCGCGACGGCTTGCTGGCGCGAATGTGGCACGGACGCAGCAGAAAGAAAAGCTGTAGTGCGTTTGCCTGGAGGTAGCCATATCGGCGCGTTCCAGACTTAAATGAAGTCTGGGATGGTCGACCGTTGTAATATTTAACAAGAGTTAATATCTGTTAGCAGGTGGTGATAACTGATAGACCGTATGCTGTTCACTCTCAACCGCACGAGGACGTGCGACAGTCAGAGGTAGCCGTGTCTGTGCATCTAGAAAATACTAGAGACGTTGCAACACTCTAGCGAAGTCATTATTCTAGTGCAGGAAAGGAACATGAATTTGCAGGGAGGCTGGTCTGTGCTGCACTGGGATATGTACCGAGTTAATGTTGGTTTACATACTTAGGTGTTATCGTGTCACTACGTCCCTCACGATACACTTTTGTGTGATTTTGACGGGGACATGTTTGCGGTATGGTTGGTCTGTAACTGTTCTATACTGAATTGAAAAAAAAGAGAGTAAGAAAAAAAAATAGTAAAAGCTACAGACTAATCATTCCGTTCTAACATAAAGATGATTTAAGTTTTGTAGGGCTTACTGTCGGAACAAAACTGACTGTTACCCGAGTCTGAAGGGTTAATATAGACCGGACCAGACGCTGTTTTGTCAGGAGAATCGAGCGATATTTTTCTGTCTACAGATAACTAAGGTTGTGATGGAGCGCGTGCGAGGACGCACGCATGTCAGTATGGCCGTGACGGCACGTGCGGCAGCGTCGGTGTAGCTAGACAGAATTCTTGTAAATAACACGTGCTCCACACACCTGCACCATTGCACCTGCGATGGCGCCCGTTTAGCTTGTATAAAACGGACGGAGCTGCCGCCGTTAGGGCAGTCTTGGCTCTGACGTGGAACGGTACGCTTGTCGTATTCCGTTACTAGTTTATCCTTGACTCGTTGGATAGTTAATTCGTGTAAACATTCGTGTAGAGTAGATAATTAACATATTTAATAAGCGTTAGATGGTAGTCGCAAATGGCGCGATCATCCCTCTGGACTCGAGATATCCTCGAATAGCGAAAGAAAATATAAAAATATATACATAGCGGATAAATACCTATATACTATATAGTAGCGAAACGAAGCAATATTATACTTACTTACTTATCTTCACGCACAATCCCTGACGGGGTAGCCAGAGAGAACAGATCGCCAAGTGTCACGATCCTTACATGCCTCTTTCGCTTCTTTCAGATTCATTATCTTCTTCATACATGCATGTCTAGGTATCCGAGTACTCTTGACCCTACCCTCTTCAAGCAATTTGCTCACATGGTCTTCGAAAGTTAGTCTCTGTCTACCTCGACACCTTTTAATATTAACTTTCGCGCTATATATTTTCTTCACCATTCGGTCTTCACTCATTCGCTCAACGTGCCCAAACCACCGAAGCACGCCCTTATCAATTTTTGTGATAAGGTCATCTTTCAAACCTGCCATATTGCGAATCTCTTCGTTTCGCTTTCGGTCGGCCATGGTAACGCCGCACATTTTACGAAGAGATCGCATCTCCACTGCATTCAACTTACTTTTATGCTTCTTCTGGCATACCCAGGTTTCGCTGCCATATAACAAAGTCGGTACCAACACTGCGTTATGTATTGCAAGGCGTGCACTCTTCACTACGCCTTGCCTTTTGACTAACGCAGTCAGGGCACCATTGACTTTGTTCCCGGCAGCGACACGCCTGTCCACATCTAAATCACATCTTCCATCCCGGCTAAAAGCACTCCCCAAGTATACAATTTCATCTACTTGTTCTAGACATTCCTGATTTACCCATATTTCACACTTCGTTCTCTCTTCGTCCCTTTCAAATACCAGAACCTTAGTTTTATTAGCGTTCAAACGGAGACCTTTAATTTCACATTCCTCTTTCATACACGTGACTAATGCCTGCAGTTCTGCCTCTGATGGTGCAATAAGCACTGCATCATCAGCATACAGCAAACAATTTAGCAATATTATGACCTAGAAATTAAAACTAAATACAAAATTAGCTTATAAAATTTATTGTGTGTCTAATCACTGAGTTGGTAAAGGACACAATTTGACAAGAGGGCATTATAGAGTAGAATTCTTAAGTAATATTTGCGCAACACATGACGCACCATCTCGCGGTAGTAACAACGCCTAGATGCCACTGGAGTCGTGGAGTATTATTCATGTCTATTAGAAGGACTGTTCCTATAGAAATAGTTGTCGCATTCTTACTCCACTTTGTACCACACCTACTTTGTAATGTATGAAGTATTCAAATCTAAAACGTTTCCAAAAGGACTAAACTAAATAATTTATTAAAGAAAAGTGTCATAACAAATTAATACGTTCTTTACTTAAATCAGTGGTTAGTAAGCATTTAGGCAGTTTTAAACTTAGATATTGACTTGATGTAGGTTCTGAAGGGTTACTACTTAACGCATAAAGCGGGTGAGAATTTAAGATACACTCGATTTGACAGAGTGTAGTAAACATTTCCTTATAAGTGAGGATTTGCTTGCCTATTACGCGAAACAAATGGTTTTATTACAACCTTAATATTGAACTCCCATATTAACCCCCCCCCCCCCCGAAATGTGAAGAAATTGGAATGTTGAGTTTCCAAACCATGCGATTATTAGTGAGCACCTGATTGAATGCCTTATAATATTCTTCAGATTGCATAAATCAATGTAATTCATGTAAATACGAACGCGTGGCAACAAAATAGCGATAACGGTACTACCGTCATTGCTGTATAAAATTTACACGGACCTCTCCGAGATATTAATCTCTAAAAGGTGTCTAAAAAACTTGCCGAACTTAGAGTCCACGCTAGTTCTAGATGCACTGCCTTTATAACAAGGCGTACGAATAAATATAAATAAGCCTTCTGGCTGCGTATACCACGCTTACTCGTCAATGTAATATAAAGGGGGCCCGAAAAATCCACAGGTGTGGGGGTAAATGCATTGCACTGCTCTTAGTGGCAAAAGAAGAAGGCAAAGCAGACATTATAGGTTAGATTTACGAAAAGATGTCACACCTATGATGCGGTGTGTAACTACGCGCCGAGCCGATTATATCCAACACTTCCCCCGTAATGCAGCAAGTAAATACCGAGGAACGGTGTGAAAACTCTTATGGTGATAAAAATCAATTATTAGATCAAGAATGTCCCTTTTTAATATTTTCTATATC